TTAGATGAGTATTAGACATTTGTTCAAGTCACTTAAAGGAAAAGGGATGCCTCAAATGATATATGACATGTTTTCTGTCATTCTCGATCAGAGAGAGTTCAGGAGGAGTATGATGATGTGATGAGTGTCAGTGAAGATGTGAGAAACCTGTTGGGTAAGTTACTGTAACCCTTTTGTTCTCATTATATTAACATCTTTATTTATATGGTAATATTTTTGACATTTTTCCAGCTTTTTATACTTTTAAAATATTCATCCAATTACAACATTTGACATGATTTTTAATATTTGTAATAACAGATTATGATGATGTGGAGGAGGAGTCAAACAAAGAAGATTTGGCCCAATGATCATCCATTTCCTCGGTTCAACAAATTTGAACAAAGTTTGAGTGATATTGTTATTGATATGTCAAATCTTGGGGTTTTATGTTTCACCAAGTGTTCTTTGTTTTTTATTAAAACTTCTATGCCTTTGTCAGATTTTGTTGTGTTGTTTTTTTTGGGGCCTTGTTAGTAGCAATAAAAAACTTTTCAGACAAATGTTTGTGTGTATTTCAATAAGACATTACACAAACCCTGAAGTCAAATGTCTGATCTTACCTTTTAATGCTCAACTGCTGCGGTGACAATCGAAGACATCCTAAATATAAGCCATAAATGACCATCAGTGTTTTCACAGCCCTCAGCATCATCACAGCAAGTACTGGAGTTCTGTGAGTGGATAATGCTGAAAAAAAATGCATTTACTTTAGATGCATTAAAGTAACTTTCATAATAGAGAAAACAAAATTGTATCACATAATTGTATGTGATCAGGTGTGTTTTTAATCGATAAATAAATATGAAAATTACTTCCATGCATCATTTATCAAGCTGTAGAAGTGTTGAATTATGTATGTAAATCAACAACCTGTAACACGTTTAATAGTCATATTTCTTCTCTATAAACCTCTTCTCTATAAACCTCTTCTCTATAAAACTTTAAAATAATTTCAATATATTATGAACCCCGGTGCAGCTCATGTTTTATCATCAATATAAAACAAGCACAGTTGCCTGTTATGTGACTTCACAGCAATTTCCACTTCAATATCCACAATATCCACTTCATCGAGCGCTCATTTTGTATCTCGATGTTAATATCTCGTTACTGTTTTGCTGAGTGACTCCAATGATTCAGTTCAATGATTCACTGAACAATAAAGAACCGGATTCAAAAGATTAATTCGGGAATTGCTAGTTTTGATTCTAAACAACAGACTGAAAACAAGACTTAATTCCTGAAGTATTGTCAGGGTAAATGTTTCTCTGGTCAGTATACTGTAGTTACGGATTTATAAATAGTATAGTAAAACTGTTCTGGCACAGACAACAGTATTTTAACTGGGGCTTGTGTCTCAGTCACACGAGTCTGGAGAAGCACCTTTACTGTAAGGCATCAAATGTGTCATCTTTTTTTACTGCTACCCACAGGAATAGATCGGTATTGCAGTATTAAACATATAAAAGCAGCTGCAAACTTGGCTCTTGTATGATGAACTGTGCATGACCATAGCGTCACCTTGGAATTATAAGGTTCTATCTGACATTTTTGTCAAAATTGTTTCACATATTCATATTCTGTGACAACTTATTTACATTATGTGATGTTTCTTTTTTAAGTTGTGTACATTTTGGGACTTTTTTTTTAGAAAACAAAGAAAACAAACACTGTCTCTGGTTCTATCTACAGTCGAACTCTAACTTGGTTCTATAAGGTTCTATCTGCGTGAGCCAATCAGCACTTCGAATGCACACACGAGGACTAATCAGGATCAGCTTTCTTTGTCATGTTGCCGGACTGCGCCGCGGCAGTGGAAGAGAGTGCAACAAAACGCTAAATCAATGAAGAGAAGACTAAATAATTTTACACAACGTGATGTTTATTAGAAACCTCATGATCGACTATTTTATTTATGATTTTGAAAATGACAGCAACCCAAATTCCAGGGAATTACAGTCGTTTTCTGTGTTTTGCTGTAGCTATTGCTGAGTTATGCCCCGCCTTTCTGAAACACATCGATTTTTACAAACCTCATCGGTCTAAAAAAGCGAGGTGTGCTGTGATTGGCCAGCTATCCAGTGCGTTGTGATTGGCCGAATACCTCAAGCATGTGACGGAAATGTTACGCCCCTTGCCATATTGTGATAATGCCCTGTCAGGCCG